TTTTTGTATTCTTAATTAATTAAATTTAATTACAGTACCTTACACACAAAGCTTGGCATGGCATTCCTTCTTCTTTTATATATACAGATAAAGTCAAATATTAACAAACGTAAAATGTCGCATTCATATTGCTCAACAAAATTTTACAAAAAATAAGAACGTTTAAATTTCCATAGAAAGTTCACTATACGAAAATTGATGTTTGCATTTATTTAAATGGAAAATAATTTTTTCAAGAATGGTAAAACTAATTTAATTATTTTATTAAAATAGAAGTCAACAGTAATTGTATGAACTGACATGCACTTGCAGTCTTTTATGCTTCTACATATTTTTAAAAGTATACAAAGATTAGGATAAATAGAAGTAATTCTACTTAAATTTTCATTCGATATTATTATTAATTAAATAAGTCGAACATTTAGCTTCTTATTAAAGAAAAAAAGATTATTAATAGCTTTCTTTGAATATTTAAATAAAAAATACAACCAACTTACCTGTAATTTCACCGCCTCCTAAATCATTAAGAATTTTCTTGTAAGATGGTCGTCTAGTAAGAATACCTCCTCTCTGTTCTGAAGATTCTTCAGAGTCTGAAAAACTGTCATCACTACCAGCCTCGACGACCTATTATAATAATATTGTTAGAAAATTTTGTCTGTTATCAAAAAAATTATAAAATATAATTTAGACTTAAAATGTATTTGAAGGATTACCTGAAGTGCTTGTAAGCTTGCTTGAGCTGTTTGGATAACAGAATTAGGTTTACTAACAAGAATGACGTTTCCTTTTGAAATAGCAACAGGCTGAATATTTGTTGCAGTTTGAATAACCGACTGCTGATTAGGTTGTATAACAGACTGTACCTATATTAACAAAGAAATAACAAATGTTATTCATTTAAAAAATATATATATTAAAATATGTAAACGTGAAAATTTTTATAAACTGTTTAAATATTAAACAAAATTAATAAGGCTCTTATTTTCCTTTATTATCATGCATATGCAAGGCACTATTCGGTGACTATAAAACAGTATATTTATAAACAAATAAACGGAATTTAGCATATATCGAAGTCTTTGATTTGGCAAGTCAGAAACAAATAGATCCCAAAGAAACTAAACTTTGATTTTAATGTTCAAAGATGAACCAGCATTATGCAAGATGGAATCCATACACAGTGCTCTCCAAGTAAATGAAAGACCTTATGATTATAAATAAAGCGTAAATAAAGAATATACACATGCTTTGAAACTAAGGAGGTAAATAAATGATCGGACATAGATACACAGGAATTTCTCCTGTATACCTGTGTTGTTCCTGACGATGGTAGCGTCAGTTGCACAATGCTGGTAGAAGCTACCAGATGATGAGTTTGCTGCTGATGTGTTCTATTGAGAGATTGTACCGATGTAGCTATTGCTGGTGCTGCATCATCACCTTGAGAACCCGTAGCTAATGGGTCAACAGCTGATCCATTTTCCTCAACCATACTTTCCATAGCCTGGGGACCTTAAACCCTATAAACAAAAGATAGTTTAGAACTATATACATACATGTTTCTTTTAAGCTCTGTAGTATTAATTTTCAATATAATTTTCATTAATATTAATAATAATATGGGAAATTACGAATATCCATAAAATCACGCATTATATTGAAAAATACTATCTTATAGTATAGCAATACTATAACAATAATTCGTTGCTTTTTAAATGAGAAAATAAAGAAAAGAATACGCCTGAACGTATAATAAAATATCTATACAAAATCGCGTACTATTTTTAAATTTAATAAAATCAAACCTTTATGACTCACAATCTAACAAAACATAAACATCGTCAAAACAAGCGGGATTCGAAAATTCAAAACTGTATAGACGCGAAATTGTGGCTATCCAGTGACGTGCGAAAACTTTTAAACTTCCCGCCAGTTAAGCGATCGGCGGTGCTACTGCGTCATTTACATAAGCAGATCTAAAAATAATACGAGAACAATAAACACTCAAGATGCTTTCGTACGTGGTCTAAGGGCCATATGTCGTAAAAAAAAGAGAAACACGGTTCAACGTAGCTGAGATTGTACCGATCAGTGTCCCTCAGTGTCGATTAGCGGTGAAAAGAGATGTCAGAATCGTCACGTAACCCCCATTGCCCTTTTCAAGAAATTCGTACATCTTTCTTAAGGCGCCATATTTTACGGCATATTCCATAGCAGACGTAAAACTGTCCGTGTTGGTCTCACGAAATAAAATGCTAGTTGTTTCGGCAGCATTTCGGATGTATCGTAAGTGCAGTGGTCCATGCCCGGTTGTTATTATTCTCCAGCTGGGTACTTACCAGTTACGTATTTCTCGTCACCAACTTTGCTGCAATCGGAGTGGGCAAACGGGCAGGTACGTAGCAGCCACGTCAAAACTCCAGTGGCTTCGTCACTGGTGGAGCCCACGACCTCCGCGCTGCGCGTCACGATCAAAATGGCCGACGGTTTCCCTCCACCCTCCGCCGTAAAATGATCGTGCATCGGATAGTGATGGGACCGATATCCTCGTGCGCGATACCGATCCCGTTTTCTTGAAAATTCCATAAAAAAATTCGCACTCTTACATTCTATAAACGATATTTGGTTGAATCTGTTCACAACAAATAGAACCAGATGTATTCAACATTTGAAGTTTGTAATTATATATGCAGAGTAGATTCCATGATAAAGAACAGCTGTCTTTCGTATTTATCGGTTCAGCAATTGCACTCGCAACTGAAGTATTAAATAAATTTGCATTCACCTTGTTGTAAGGAACTTCGCTTGCTATAGCTGACTTTTGAGGTGACAATTGATATTATGCTATCATATTAGTATCTTTCTGAATAAATGATCGAAGAAGCCTCTAATTGTGGGGTACGTAATACGATGGATATAAAGTTCTCAACTGTTTTTGAGTATTTGATTCGAATTGTACCTTCTGTTTAAATGTTATTCGTACTCTAATTTACATTGTATGCTTAAACTGTGCCGTTTGTATAATTTGTAACATAGAGTTACAAAGAAAACAGGTTGTTAATTTCAGATTAATTTTTTGTCCACTTTTCGGATATTCAATTCGTGTCACTATGTGTGTGTGATGCATGCGATTTAATCACTCACAAGGAAAGAACATTAATGTCGTTTAAAACGACGTTCTTGCATTAGTACTCTCTTACATCATTTCTTCCTTTCAAACGTACTCTGATTATCACTTCGATTGTTAATGTTGTTAATTTACTCATGTTCCTAATTCACATGTTCATATTTATTTTTATCGTACTCCGTCATCAACATTGTAATGCCCTTTTTCCTTAGAGGTTATCAAATGAACCGTAACATTAATAAGTTTACGTAATTGGAATATCTTTAAGTCACAATCCAGCAATTTTCGAAAGAAAAATAGAAATATTGCAAGGTTAATCATGTGTAAAAATATATTTGTGATAAAATTTTCATTTCTAAATTTTATACAAAAAACTTACGATACATTTATATATAAATTTTATATAAATGATGTGTAAAACATTTACGTATATGGATGCGTAACAGTATCTGTGGTTTGATATAATTATGTGGTTACACGGTGAGACATTGATAGGGCTGACGTCATTCAATGACGTCATTATCGTATTTACATGGATGCACATGTGTTTCATATGGTGCACACCTTGATTTTCTTCTACTGTGTAGAAAACGCTTTCCTCGTCGTAAGCTACTAAAAA